GCTCTAAACTTTAGGAGCGTATCCCGAGCGTTAAGCGAGGTCTTACTGCAATGCAATCTGAAATCCATTAACTTTCCTTGGCCTGGATACTTGCAGATACGCTGTTGTTGAGGAATGAGACTCGACGGAAGACTCAACAACTTCCTTCGCCGTTTATAGTTGTTTCGAAACAAGGTCAATTTTACATTATGAAATAGACGTTTACGGTTGGCAGCTGTTCCACTTGTAACTTAATAATCAATTCGCGTTGAAAATTATTAATTCGATACGTTTACGAAGTACGTAATACTTGTTTTGACAATATACTTCATAAGATTTGTTTTACGGAGATATTCAGCTCGCGCGGTGATCGTTTCCCCGTCCCATTCGGTTGTTTTTGGCTTCCAAGACGGAAACAGCGGTGACGGAAGGAGAGAAAGGATCGAAACACGACAGCGAACCTTTCGAAGGTCGACCTCGATACCCGGAGGGGTTCTAAGGTGTACAGGGATGTCCCCTAGAGGACAGCCTCCCTTTTCACGTCGACAAACGCGAAATGGTGACTCAGCAGCGAAATAGAATCTCCGGAGACTCGTGCTTTTCGCCTCGAACGGATCTGCTGCCAACACCTCGACGCAAAATACACGCGAGAATGGCCAGGATCTATCATAAATTTGTAAACTCCGGACGACGAGAATTGCGGGAGCGAATCGAATTCTTCCAGCGAACGGTGTTCCGCGGGTTTGTAAATATTTGGAGTATTCCGTGGAGATGTCGATCGATCGGTCCCCCGAGGATCGGAGTAGCGTGAAAAATATTTGAAAGTGTTTTGACTGCCATTTAATATCGATCGTAGCAACGGAGAAGAAAAATTACAATTTTGGGATAGACGTAAGCTTTCTTTTGCATTTTCGAATGGTTGTAGCGCAAGGAATCATCCCCTTCCGTACCACTTTGTAGAATTATTCGAGCTACACCGAGAAATGATCGATATCGGCATAATTTCTGTTTCGAGTCTCTCCCAGAAACGTTCCCAGTGGTGTCACGGGCGATCAACAAGTAAAGCGTAGCACGGAACGCCGGTAATAAAGCGATGAAAGTGATAAATCGCGATGGTTCCACCCCACTCCACGGTCCGGGCGTCGTATTGCGTTATTAAAACTTTACTAATGGTCGATAATAAGCAGCCGCTCGGCCGAGTTTGATATTAAATCGTGAACTACTGCGTTCCCATTTATCATTATCACGACGGAACTCTGTGTTCCGCGGCGCGACTCTTTCGCGTCTCGATGCCAGCCGGGGAATTCCAGCCAAACGGGTTTCCACGGGAAAGCGTTCTGACAGCCGAGGATGATTCTTTCGCAGTCGCGGGCAAAAACCGCCGCGATTATTCGCTAGTGTGTTTTCGTGTAACTGTCTTTTCGATACGCGTCGTTGAGTTTCATCGGAAAGCGGGGGAGAAAGTTCAAATCTCTCAGCGCGCAACGTTACCTTTCGTAGGGATCTTGTTGATGCGAGACACAGTCTTTCCGTTGGATATTTTATAACCTTTAATCTATAGGCGCGCGTTCGATCGCTCGACTAGATTCGATAAACGTTTACGAGCATTTAAATGCATACTTTTATGCTCACGTTCGCTGGTGAAAGCGTACTCCCGCTGCTGGTGGTTAGCGAATGGTAGCGAATTTTTAAAAAACTACTGGCAAATGGGGCTCCTTCCAATACGAGCATACAGAAAACCGAATACCACTTTTATCGATCCCGGGGAATTTTCAACAGAGGATTTGCGCTCGGTTCCATCGAGTCCGCGATTCCATAGAAACCTCGAGCAACAATCGGGGCGCTTCCACCCCTTGCTCGAGCGATCCTGGCGCGTTCGGTGTCCCCGGGAAGGACAACCGTAGCAGGGAACACGTGGCGGGTCCGGGCCAGGTCTCATGGGCGATCTCGCGATAATCGTCATCTGGGAGATCGCATCGGTTCGGTAGCGAGAGGAGGAAAAAGAAAGAAGGGGGAATCGTCGTTGACGAGGCACGGTCTCCGTGCTGCAGGGGTGGCAGTGGGTGTAAAAGGAGGGTGTCATGCCGGCTCGCCGGGAAAAGTGATTGATCGTGTTTCGCCGGAAGAGAAGAGGAGCGGCGAAGACTCGAGCAGAAACGGGGGTGGGAAGAGACGCGGGCGAAAGACGGAGAAAGAAGCGGTAGCCAGAAGACGCCGGGCACAGAGGGTTGCGAGAGAGGGTTGGTCGCCGATAGAGACGGAGAGGTCGAGCCGCAAAACGAGGAGACAACGTCCGTCCTACCCTCTCGGTTCGCGGCGTGGCCCCTTCAACCCCCCTCGCTGATTCCACTCGACGCCGCGCGTCCCCTTCCGTCGCGGGGGCCGGCACGAAGTGGCCGTAAGAAAAATAGAAATAAGCCGCGGCCTCGTCCTATCCTAGCGAAAAACCGAGTCCAGGAGAGCTCGCGGAAAAACCAGCTGACGCGCTCTCAGCGTCCGCTCAATTGCCACCCCCCTTCCTGCCCCCCTGACGCTCCGCGTTCTTCTGGAACCGTTCACCGCCCCGGGAAATATTGCCACGCTGGCTTTATCGTCGCCCTCGCGACTGGACAATATTGCTCCTCGACCACTCTCTATGCTTCTTTCGTCCTGGGAACGGGGCTCTTCAGGGTCCTAGCGGACGCTCGATTTTCGGTTAGTGGTGCTACCTCGTCTTCCTGCGTAGGGAATGCCATCGTCGGCGCTCCCGATTGCTCCTACACCTCTGAGACGAAGATCGCGTCGCGGCGAAGAGTAAAAGTAAAATCCGGATCGGTTCTACGAGTCGTTTGTCGAGCGAAGCTCGCCGTAGCGCATTGTCGTGCCGCGGCAAAACAGAGTGAGTGTGCTCTTTGTATAATGACTCGGCGCTTTATATGCTTTGCTCCGCGCAGCTGATCGCAAGTAGGCGTACTTGACCGAGTGCAGACCGAGACACTTGTGGAGCACCGATATAAACACGCGGCGAAAGAACGCCGGTGCCATTACTTTCAATTCGAAGCTGCATCGAATCCGCCTTACGTAACGCGCACGCAGATGAGGCGATCTCGCCGTTGTCTATGGTGCCAGCGGTGGAAAATCCTCGTGACTGGAGATTGCGTATGCTTCTGGTATATCGATCGTATCGACTGCGCGGCTCCCAACAATGGCACCTTCTAACGTGCATGACAATCTAATTAAGGGTTGTCACCCATCTCGCGATATGGACAGATTAGAATCTTATCGAAAGCGCGTTGCTTGAAGTCTAAACGTCGCCAACTCGTCGACGTTGACCAAGACCGAGATAAATCGGAAGTCAATATTAACAGTCGACGAACGAAGATAGATCCGTCTGCTGCTTCGTAGACCAGTAATAAACTAAATTAAGACGTCAAGACTGATGACAGACAGTTCAGAACAGTTCGGAAGAGTTCAAAGTTCAGTTCTAGTCAAGATCAGTCAAGAGTAGAACCTCATCTAAACAGAAGGAGTCGATACGTTCGAAGTAGAATCAGCAAAGTCGCGCAGACACCAGAAGAATAGAAAAAGATTGCAAGTAGATTCGTACTCGCGACAATCCGAACTTGGAGAACAAGGTTAATTGTTATTGTAATCCCAGGCTTAGGAATAGAGTATTTCGATGTCTGCGGGTATCTAATTCAAGGATGACGACACTGGTCACAACTTAGATACCCGCAGAATCTCCCGTATGAAACGTGAGGGTGGAACATACGTAATTCCATACTACTTAACTCCATTATATCGATGATACAAATTACAAGCAAATGGTATTTTCTTTCAATTAGTGTAAACCTAGCGTTAAATCCTCGATAGAATCTCTTTGAAAATGTTCTCTATCGCTGTACCCTTCATTCGCCCAGTCAACCCCAACGTTTGATTGTTCTACTTTCGTTAGAGTACGCGATTCCGGTGCGTGGCCCAGTAGCCCCGCAACGTTGGCATTCGTAGAAACGGTCCAAAATGGTAATCGTAACCGTTATGATTGCCCTCGCAAAAAAAGATCCGACGGAGAAGACGAGTGACCGTGAGACAGCGGCGCGATTAGTATCGCGATATCGTTTAACCCCAACCGTACGATCTCAATAACGTCGGTGCCGATTGGCGTCGTTTCGGCGAGCATTGACCACGCTGCTAAGATGGATTTTAGAAGGATGGAGGCGGGTTAAGGAGATCCGTAGGAGTGACTATACGGTTCTAGGTAGTACCCTCGAGTATGGCCCCATAAGGGCACAGGATCCACGGTTTCCGTGGCAGGGGTTGGTCTCGTGGTTCCAGAGAGTGGGGTTAGCCGGCGGGAGAGCAAGCGGAGCGACGAGGAGAGGGGCTGTCCCGACTCTCCGCATCGGCTCGAAGCCAGCCGGCCTCGTCGAACCTGGAGGGAGTTGGGAACAAGCCGGAGTTGCCAGACGAGTTTCTGCCGAGGCAGGACGAGCTCACTTTCATGGCTCTCTGACAGCTTGGTCGGTCGACGGGATTCCGTTCGTCGGGACAAGTCGCTCCGACGAACCAGTGCGCGGTGAACTGATCATCGAAGCGAATCGCGAACGCGTGTGATCGAAACGTCTCCGGGATCGACGTATCCCCACTCCCACGCGGTTGGACATTTTTAAAAAATCATTTGGGAATTGAACGAAACCTGTCGAGGATCGAAAAGTGCGCAGTGGCGAGTCACGAGGAGAGTCCCGGGGGAACTGTAATTCGTGGAAACGGTCGCCCGTAGGAATCGGTGACAGTAGATTTCGGAGCAGACACGAAGAAAGAAGTTGGTGCACCTGCCGCAGTGGTTCTCGTGGCGCCACTCACGTGTTGCATGCGTGCCGCGCTATCCATCATGGTCGCGGACTCGGAGCAGCTCTGATTGGTCGGCGCCGCGGTCACGTGGTATGGTAATTGGGCTTCGGTGGGCGGGAAGGAGCGAACGAGGCCGCGGAGCTTCGTGGAAGATCGCAAAAGTGGCGGAAGGAGAGGAGAGGACAAGCAGCTGTCCACCGGGAGTCTGCTGCTCTCCGTGGTCTCGCTCTTTTCGCTCGTTTTCTCTTCTCCCCCTATCGTTCTCCTTTTTCCGCCTTCGGCGTCTTGGTTCACCCTTTCCCCTCCGGTGGAAAAAGTCACCCTGTTCGGTTCGCGGGCCGGGGGAGAGGGATGTCGGCCACAGGCCAGAGTGCAGTGCGGTGTGTACGCTTCCGACAATGAATATTAACATGGAACCGTGCGATTCTAAGAACTAACTCGCGAACGACGACAGAGAAGGACGCATCGAGAAGGAAACAGTGACCGTCGTTGATTCGGCCGACGGTTCTTTCAAACGATATTGGGATCGGTGTTTCGGCTACGAAGAAACGACCCGTCGCGAACATGAGCTCGTTCCTGATGAATCCGTCCGCCGGCGGTGGATACCATCATCACCAGCATCAGCAAGCGGCAGGCACTCACCACTTGGCTGCCACCTCCGTGATGGTGGACCCGAAGTTTCCACCCAGCGAGGAGTACAGTCAGAGTAATTATATTCCGTCAACCGGAGCGGATTTCTTCCCCGCTAGCGGCGGCGGTCATCACCTGAATCACCCGCAGTCCCATCAGTTGCAGTACGGTTACCATCAGCATCATCATCAGGCGGCGTCCACTCCGTACGGGGCGTCGTCCGCCGTACAGTTGAACGGCGGTTACGCCGGCTACGGTGGCTACTACGGTCCCCATCATCCTCATCACCAAGTGCACGCCGTTCACCATGCCAGCCTGCATTCTCATCATCACGCGGTCGGCGCGCTCGCGATGCCACCGGAGGCCCAACAGCCGCCTCTCACGTGTCCATCCTCGATGCAGAACCAACAGCAACCGCAGCAGCAACCACCTGTGTCCGCGTCCACTGTCCTCGGCTCCACTCCCCTGTCGCCCGGCATTATGCAGAATCACGTGCAGCCGCCGGACAGTCTTCAGCATCATCAGCAACAGAGCCAGCAGCAGCAGCCGACGCCGCACGAAACCAACGCCTGCAGCCCGGCCAGCTCCAGCCAGTTGCATCGCGACAACTCGCCGGACCTTCAACAGCAACCGACGGCCGGCCAGCAGCAGTCCCAGCATATACAAAACGCGCAACAGCAACAGCAACAGAGCCAACAACAGTCGCAGCATCACGTGGACGACGGCTCCGATCAGGATGACATGGAGGACGATCAGATGATGGACGGGTCGCCCGGTATGATGGAGGAGGACGACGACGACGAGGAGAACGGGGACCGTGTAATTTATCCGTGGATGAAGAAGATTCACGTTGCCGGTGTCGGTGAGTTGAGAGATTGAACAGTCGTACCCACGTTTAGCATCGATTTCCACCCTCCTTCGGTCGTTTAGCTGCAGAGATAGTTGTCATTCGTAGATCAGGAGTTATACTTTGACCAGAAAATTCTTGGTTGGAATTAGAATAAAATAGATTCTGTATGATTTATAATCCATGGAGCAAGGCAAAGCGATCGCTATCCGACGGAACACAGCCTACGTTGAATCAGACTGTGTGGTCACGCTTCTGCGTTCATTTCCCATAACAATTTTCCATCCTTGCGTCTTCACGGTCCGTGTCAAACTCTGAGATATCGTTGCTATCCAATCTCGAATTCTCCAAGGCGGATAGATGAGCCAAAAGCGTAAGGTGCATAACAAAAGACGAGAGGCGGGCGTCGTTTCGAAGTTTACCTGCGAAACGAACATATTGTGGTCGCAAGGTGACGCGTTACAGAAGTGCAGGAAGACTGATGAGACGCAATTTATCGTCGTACCTTACGATCACCTGCGAGATTTTAGGTGCACGGCACTTTACGAGCCATTCGGTTACGCCTAACGTTCCGCTATTCTTCATCCCCTAACGATACGTCGGGAAATAACTAGTTTGAAAAGATACTCAAAACGCACGCGAGGAGAACAAATTGCTGGCAGTCTGTTTCACATGCCGGCATTGTTGAACATCCGCGAAATATCTGTCGTCGATTTTGACGAATCTTTGCAGGTCCGCGGAGCAGCCAAAAACGAGGAACACGTATCTTTTCTCAGCAGTTTCGTTATACTAAGATCGAAATTTTTAAGGGTTTAAGGGTTTTAAGGGTTCGTTAATCAACAGAGCTTCTCCAAAATCAACGTCGAATGCTTCATAATTGTTTCTTGTAAAATAGAACCTAAAATCATATTTAACCCCTTCGTTCTCATCGTATTCTTTACGATAGACACCGTTCTCGAATAAAATTTGTTATTATTACACTATTCGTAATTGTATTCAATACGTTTTGCAGTATATTTGACAGACGTACATTATAAACAAAAGAAACAGTATTCGTTGCATGCCGGTGCATGTACGAAATAATTAAGTTTGATGGATCGGTGTAACCCTATCTCGCGATTCAAATTTTGGCATTCGTTTGATGAGAGGGCCAAGGAGAGATCGCGATCAAGAGATTAAAATATTTCCTTCTGGAAGCGCACGTGAAATTTCCAGGAAGATTGAGATACTCGCTCGAATTTCACGGATCGATCGACGACTAACGATATACGGGGTGTACGCGAGCCAGAAATAATGTTCATTGAAAACACGTCGATAAGAATGGCACGTTTAAAACGCGGTCCGAGCGTTCCGGGCCACGGTAGGCGTTTCGCAGAAGGATTATGGATCTTCAAAGGAAATTTTTGCAACGTAATATCCTTCAGAATCGGGCTGCCTTTGCAGCCTCAAATTTCTATTCGGTTTTGACGCGGGGGAAACTGCTGTTCATTCCAGCTTGCAACTATTTCTTTTGAGCCCGTTCTACTGGGATACGATCGCCGGAAAGCCGAATGTCATAATTCATATTTTCAGGTAACAAAAAATAGCGTCCGTGAAAGAAACACGGGGCTCACCGTTCGTGAAACAAACTTTGCAATGCCCGACCACTGTGCTTGTTTTTCTTTTTCATTCAAAGTTTTTCGATGAAGAAAATTCAATACTAACGTTACTTCGCACGCTTCGAGATATAAATATTTTACTGAGAGTATTATCTGAAAAAGATACAGGTTCGTGATACCAGAGTTGGGAAAATTCACAAACAACGAATGCAATTATAACTTATGAATGAAACGCAACGGAAGTCTGTTTATAAACGAATCTAAAATTTCTGTTTATTATTCTTGAATAAAATTATCTCAACTCTGCATACCATAATGTCTACATTCTAAATTATGTGGCAGAATAGCGATGCTAATACACCTTTGCATCAATTAACACGAAGAATATAGCAATCGCACGCTCGTAACATTGAGCTACATTTCCTAGTACTGTAATTGCTCTAACGACCAATTAAATACACATCTACGCTCCAATTAGACACACAACGAAAAAAGAATATCCCTACGGTTCGAAAACAGGTCTCGAATATCGAACAAAGATTAATATATTAACATACAAGTCATCCAAACAAATAGGAGGCGTATAGTACGATAAATACACATTGCAAAATTTGTTGTATCCCTTAAATGCATCTATCATCGTATTAGTCTTCCGCGTGTAAGCTTCCGATTGTCTTATTCAATATGCGTTACGTCCAAGCTCTCAAAAAATTGAATAATAGCTCGCCTTTCTTTCCACGCGTCGTTGCAGTTGTCTTTAGGTAATGGAACAGACATCTTGGCAGTTGAATGGAAGTCCGTACAAACCGAACACAAACGATTCGATCTGAGCGATTGTTGCACGAAACCTAGGTCCATGTTCCATGTAGCACTTTCCTGCGTTTCTGTTTCTCCCTAACGAACAAACCTAACAACGCTAAACATTCCTCTTTTCTTTCCCCATGTAATTGTGTCTGGGACACGTAATCGGGATTGGCTTTAATTGGAAGCATGGTACAACGAATGGCATCGTGGCACGTTTTAATAGGAATGTTGACAAAAAAGCACCGCAATTTTTAGAAAGATTATCGTGTCCGAGTGTAGCTTTCCATTCCATCAAGAAAGTCTGTGTTAAAAAATACTGTGGCGTGGCTTGGTAGTAATGTGTTCCATATCTAGCATCAAATTTAGAAATACAGGCTCGTTTTATTTTTAATCCATCACGCGTGTCGAGAGTGGGCCCCAAAATGGGGAACCCCGGGGCGCGGTGACACGCAGCAATAATTTTCGCGCAACGCGCGATCGTTTTGGGAAATAAGAAACGCTTGCTCGAGATTGGTCTATAACTCTCGGTTCGATGTCCATCGCCTCTAAAGTCTGGTATGCGTGTCCGTCGGGCTGTCGGAGACTGCAATATCTCCCCTCTGGATGTCGAGGCTCGGTGACCGGACGCCGCCGTTAGGAGGGACTTCCCGAGACCGTCGGTCAGCATCGGAATGGAATGTGTCTGCACAGATTCGAAACTGAACTCGCTCCCATGTTTCCTCTATCGAGTCCTGCGGACCACCAAGGAACGCTTCTAGCGTGCCACACCGAGGATTGACGTTGCTCGATACGAGGATCGATGCACGGATCTCTTATCCACGAGACTGGACGCTGGACATTTGTTTCGATCCAAAGATCGGAAGCAATGTCACGAAATCGCGAATTCAAGTACTGGCAAATGGAACTAGAGAATCGACGAACTGATAAAATTGAAGATTGAAATGTTCGAGCATCGAACGGTTAAAGAACGAGAAATAGAATGTTAATTACGGTGTATCGTGGATCGAAGTAGTTCGACAGCAAAATAACTGGTTTAATAACAGTTAGAAAATGGTAAAAAAAGTATCGGTAGCGAGGAAATGGTAACGCAGGACTTGATGGAGCCCCAATTAATTCCCCCGCGACAAATTAGTGGTAGCGGCGAACAGGACATGACTTTGACGTTTGTTGGACAGAAGCGATATTGTAAAATTGGCGGTATCGAATGGTAAAATTGTATTTGCTGCCCGAGGCGGTATAATTTCCATGCAGGGAGCGTCTTCGTTATCATTTTCTGGAACTTTTCGATCGGTGGTGTCCTTTCGCTCGTAATCGCCGTTCAAGTTCGACAACCATCGGCTACTTGGCAGTCGGACAGATCGGCCTTGGAACATTCGGTCCGTCGATTGTGAAATGTAGAGCCGGTTATTATTACGACGCTTAAGAGAACGACGCCTCGGTGTTGGTGTACGCGTCGTGTTTCTCTATCTGTTACAATCGTCGATCGTGTGCACCGCAGTCCCAACTTTCCAGCACGTTTTACGATGGCAAGACGATGGCACCCGGGTCGCAAAGCCTGAAATAATGGCAGTTGTCGCGTAACGAACGGTTACTTTGTCCCTGGAGACAAATTTGACAGAGGGACGATACATCGCGAACACTATTTGCGCGGAAATCGTTTGTTTCTTATAGAATGATTCGTTGTTTTGTTCTGCACCTTCGAAGGATTAGCTTGCTGGAACGAAAATTAAAGAAAGTGTTAAAATTTGACCAAAAGACTGGCACATGGAAAATCTATACAGATATTGAGCACGTTACTTAATTACACGCATGCGTGTATTGTTTGCTATCATCCAGGTTACGATCTTGCATACGATTTAGCTCCATTTTGAAACGATCTTGATGAAAATTTAATTAAAATGGAAGCCGGTCTCCCGTTAAACTTGGAACACATTCTGCACATTTGTTCTGTTTCTTATCTTCTTAATGCAACTGTCACATCGAACCTAATTTATGAGTTCCGTACGGTCAATTGTAATGCATATAATTTTAATAGGTATAAGTATCAGGTCGTTCTGCGAGTCTTTGCATACTTATCTATGGGAACTTTTGACCCAACGCGAACGTACACAAACATCCATCATTTCAAACAATATGACGTCTGTCGCTGCTTTATATTCAGCCTTCTAGACGGCGAAATGAATTTAAACAAGATAATGAACATTTATGTCATAAACGAACGCGAGGAGAATTCATATTAGGCGTACTCTATTTTCGAATTTGACAAACGAGAACACCTGCTTCGGTAAACTATTCTTGCAGGTCCAATATATTCATAGTTCTCGAAAAAATGATGCTTTACAACTTCCAAATAGTTTCAAACAACGTACGGTTGTCCATTTCCGGAAAATAATAGAATTTTATTAGAATCGTCGTATGTAATTTCTAAAAGAAGTCCAAAGACGAGTATCGTCGACGAAAGGGCAGCATTAATTATACTTGAGAGATTATGCACGAGCTGTTTGTATGTCTATATACGTCACAGACAACTACCTAAATGCTACATCAAGACTGGCGCCAGAGTTACTGGCGCCCTGATGCAACTTCCAATTTAGGCTCCAATTTTAACTCAAATTATACAAATCGAATATAAACGAAACTAAAGTCTTTTAATTGAAAATAATATCTGCCGAACAATCATTTATTAAATGGATTATGGCAGATGACGTTGGTATGTTTTCATATTGGTGCAACTTACACGGTTCGCGTCTAAATCCTTTCAAATCCCCCGTAATGGCTGTCTGCTTTCCTTCCCTCCTTCGAAACTTACATACAAACTTACCTTTACCATCTCGCTTGATTAAACTCTCCTTACTATGCAACCTGTCCTCAAAATTCTTGACGCAACATTTCATCCATCTTGATATTCAAACCGTCACGTTGCCGCGCTGCGCCGTTCCGCTTTTTATCGCCTACAGTCTTTTATATTCTTTGTGTAGTGTTTTCTCAACCAATTCTAAATTTATTTTCAATCCGATAGAGTTTGTTCCGTAGATAATCGAAGTAGAAAAACCGTTAAGAACAGTAATTTGCTATGGGAAAGCTACGCTCGGATGCGATAAATAATTCGCGTAATTTTACTCTTCTTTATTGTTTTTATCGAGACCTCCCTAACAAGAGTTAGATGAAAGCCTAGCTCTGGCTATTACGAGAGTAATTGACGCATGAGTGAAAAGGACGAGTCGCGCATACCGGGGAGAAAAGTATGCGCGATATTATTAACGCGTGATTCCATAAGTGAACGTAGGTTCTCGGTTTGCTTCCTTTTGTGCTAGCATATAAGGTCAAAGTAATTACTCCAAGGTATCTACGAAAAGGTACTAGGAAAATTGGGATCTAGGGGAGATAAGGGTTCGAGTTCCTAAAATTCTTTACTCTGCAACTTGCATTTGAAACAGTTAAGAACTGACCCGGCGCTTTGGGCAGAGCCAATCGACTAACACGCACCGATGTCTGTTTCGTTCTTCCAGCAAACGGCTCGTACCAGCCGGGGATGGAGCCGAAGCGACAGCGGACCGCGTACACGAGGCACCAGATCCTCGAGCTGGAGAAGGAATTCCATTACAATAGGTACCTGACGAGACGGCGACGGATCGAGATCGCTCATACCCTGGTCCTGTCCGAGCGGCAGATTAAGATCTGGTTCCAGAACCGTCGCATGAAGTGGAAAAAGGACAACAAGCTGCCGAACACGAAGAACGTACGGAGGAAGAACGCGAACGGTCAGGCGGCGCCGTCCGCGAAACCGTCCAAGACGACCGCCTCGAGGACGAAGCTGACCACCGGGAACAACAACAGCCAGAGGAAGAACAATAACAACTCGCCGTCGAGCGGGATCGATAGCAGCCTGGACTCGAACGTCGGTCTGGACATGGCCGACGTCCACGCGGTGAACGCGGCCCTTCCGCATACGAACGTGGTCCATCCGAGCTTCCAAGGTCACCCGCATCCGCTCGCCCATCTTCAGGCGCAGCTGAGTCATCACCATGTGAGCGGGATGATGGAGGGCCCGACGGGAGGGCCGCTGGGACACATAGGCACCGGAAGTATCAGTCCCCTCGCGCCAGCAACCAGCCCCTCCGGACTGTCGCAGGTCTCAGCGCCCATACCGCCACCGGCGATAAAGTCCGACTACGGTCTCACGGCGCTGTAACATCCGTACGAGGAACCAGACTGTACCGGTCGACTGATGCGTTTTCACGGGAGGCTCGTAGCCGTTGGCTCCTAGAGTCCTTTCGACGTCTTCTCCGCGACGGGATCGCTCGGAAGCTACGGAGGATCGAGACCAAGGCAGGGGGAGAACTTAAGTCATTGCTGGCTGGACGATTCATCGCCGGAAGTGCCGGTCTCCAGGCTCGTACCATGATCTAGCAACTGAATTTGCGGGGATTGATCGTTCGTGGCGGGAGATCGCGTTGAAACGGTGAACCGAACCGCGCAGAGAATGACCTGCAACTCGAGTTCCTCGCGATCCTTCGTGTTGCCCTATCGAACACAGCCGAGTCATTATTATTTGGACGATATCCGAGACGAGATCGAAATAAATGAGATCGGTCAGCCAATAGCGCTTCTTCCGTTGCTGGAAATCTTTGTGTCTTGTGTCCTTCCAATTCCTGAGACTGTGCCGAGGCACTTTGATCGAAGACTGAGCGACGAAACAGTCAGGTAGAGGGCTGCAAAGTGGGAAGAGTTCGGGACTATGGTGACTGGACGATTAGTTCACGAGAGTACGGGGAGTAGTAGAAAATTAGGCTCGATTCTGAATGGAAGTTGCGGACATTGCATGCAACGATTATTCGGTGAGCGAATGGTAGAGATTTTCGAATTTTGGACCTCCCCTGCGACGTTCAAAATTTTTCCGCGAAATGGTCGATAGTTCGGAGTTGCTTGAAACGGTTTAGCGATCGAGGGAAGTTGGACGTCTCGCTCCCAGGCTGTCGAAGGTAAATAGAGATCCCCCGGATCTTCCCGAGAACGTTCGGCCGTGACTTTTCGTTCGTCGAATGCTGTGATCCGATAAGTAATCACCCCCGCGATCTGAACGTTTCCCGGTTCGTAGAGAAAGTCTCGTCGGTAGGGAACGACAAAAGGAAACCGACGTTCCACGGACACGTGAACTGTACATAGAAAATACCTGGGCACGCGCGTGTGTGTATATAGTCGTGTAAAGAAAGTCTTATTGCTATTGTGATTAAAATGCATCGTATTTCGTATGTTATTGCGTAAGTGTGCGGTCTTAACGTTTTAAGTGTTCGATAAAAAAGGAACGGAACCGAACAAGATTGTCGGGCGTAAGAGGTTTACGCGATGATCGGACGGAAGAACGGAGCTTAGAAGCGAAGAATAGAGTACTCGGTAGAACATTTGGCACTAGCTTCGTCGCGTGTTTAGCCGCGATTCGATAAAAATAGAAGTCATAGGCTCTTGTTCAGAATTTTGTTCGTACGATTCGACGTCGAGGATTCGGTTAATTTCATCGCGCGAATCGTTGCTCTTCGCTTGCGCGAGCGTTCTTTGCCGCTAGCTCGTTGGTTCGCGCGGAAAGTAGATGTTTCCTGTAATCGTCGGACACGGAGTGACGAGGATCGTCGGTGACGGGCGCCATTCCCCCGAAGTCTCGCTGTTCGGTTGGAAATAGAATTCGCGAACAGCGTTCGTTCGCGTCGCGCGTCCACGTTGTAAATATTTCACCGAGATACAATGTCTATTTTTATCGAGAAAGTATAAAGAACGACCAAGTTAGTTGTAAAGGCTGGTACTGCGCCGTCGAACGGGGGGGGGGGAAAAAAAAAGAACCGGAAGCTGTACCGCGGAGACGAGTAGCAATCAAACGATTAAATGCACAGAGTCGCTGTGACGATATACCAAAACGATATGTTTATCAGATTTAATATAGGAACGTAGAGGTACTAAGGATTATTAAGCGGCACGTTAATTCTAAAGAACGAGACGGTGGGCGAGAAACGGGGCGATCCTAGCGTAATTTAGCGAGTTTAAGCAAACGAGCGCACGAGTTTACGAGAACGTTCTATTAAGTGTGACATTGTATTCCTTGATATTCTATCGATAATGTATATAGCCTGTACGATAAGAACCGTATTTGGGCACAGTCCGATGCTTATGTTTATATTGATCGTGGAAAACGATCAAATACAATCGTGAAGTAAATAAATCAATAAATAAATGTTTCGTAATTTACGATAATGCCGTGTTTCCTCCACGAATAATCACCTCCTTTGCACGAGTAGACAATCTTACGATAGTATAACGAAGTAGTCGTATCGTTTTCTTTTGCGACGCAATTTACTTACCTTTATTCGCGGCCAATTAACCGGGTCCTCTTCGCGAGAACTCTTAGCGGAAGTAGTTGACAGTTTCGCGGAATTGTATAACTTTTCAAAACCGAAGAAATGGACGGTCGAGATAATACAGGTTCGCTATCTTATATATTTTTATCTGTGTTTCGCGCCGAGCATCGTTGACGCAGGAAACAAACGATAGGCAAAGAGTCGAGGTAAACTTGTTAGTTGACGGCGTTGACAGTATCTCATCCTTATTACGTATGCAAAATTGTGTGCATAAATTTACCGGTTATACAGTACGCGTAATAAATCATCTCCCTTCGAAAATAAATTCCTATTGCTGGAAAATATATGAAAGAAATAACGAGATAATGTTACCTATGAATCATGCCGATAAAACCGACCGACACGTAGCATTAGCCACCACCGTCAACCGCCAACGACTCAATACGACCAAAATATTCGACTTTCCATCGACCCTCTTTTAACGTCTCTAATGATAACACCAACTAACAACCACCTACCGTGTGCACCAATTCCCCAACGAAACTCGACAAATTTCCTTTTCATCTAGACGCGTTCATTGAACGACAATTTACGCCAGAGATGAGACAAATAGTTTAGTAAATAATAGACGAGCATTTCCAAAAAGTTGCAGTCGGAAAATACGAAACTGACTCCCAAGATTAGGAGTAGGTACTCATACTTGTAAAACGTCAGTGAAATCTACGCGAGTCTCCATGCTAGATTATCCCTATCATAATTGATGATGTTATTAAACGTATATTTATCGCTGTGTGCAGGTTAGTTTCGCTTTGTACTTTTTCGATTGTCCCTTCCACGTTTCGACCTCGAATCTTATGTAACGAAAACCTAATCATCGGATAAAATTCTAGAACCATCTTCGCTAACAATTCCTACGACATTCGTACGAACCAGTAAAAATGGAGATAAATTCCGTCAAACGTCTCGAATCGATTAAGAGTCGATTGCTGTAGAAACTCGACGCTCAGCCATGGAAATCTTCGAGGTTCGCGAGTAATGTAGACGATGAACTTGATCTAGGTCCTAGTCCCGTGGCCTATCGATTTATTATCGAGACCCCCCTGCGATACATCGCGTTATTATGGTAGCGTGATGGTCGTACGAGCGTCGCGGAGACATTCAATTCGAGCGTCTCCGATCGAAAGGGGTTTCCCCTCGGTTCTCCGCCGCCCACGCGCGTCCATCGGCCACGTACGCTCGTATGTATTCGCGCCCATGCGTGCGGCGTTGCCGTGTCGGCGCATGCGCGAGCACGTGCGTGTTTGCCGCAGCCTGGCCTGGGGATATGCCGCAGCAGCCTCGAAAAGAAGGGTGGCACCCGGAAAGCGAATGAGGGGCCGTCTGCACGACCCTGCCTCCGCCCATGCAACCAGCAGCCCGGCCAACAGCCGAGATAACCTGCTACCACCCAGGATCGAAAGTCCACCGTGCCTCGTTCCGATCCGCGATCGCCGCGTTCCGTGTTTCCAGGACCGTCCGGAACGACGCTGGTTCCTGCCACACCGAGAACACGCGACTGGGAATTTTGATTTTTCCACCCCCCTCGATGATCGCGTTAGTCATTCGTCGCGAGAACGGGCAAGGATCGATGACGATTTGCTATCCAAACCTTAACCCTCTTAGTGCCAGGGCTGATTTTAATATAGAAAGAGAAAACGTAAAGAAAAGTGAACCGTGTTCACCAGAAACAATACTTAATTAATAACCTGTATTATCGGGGATTCTGACGGTATCGTGACAGAATAAGTAAACCCGGCTTTGAAAAATAGTAGGATGAAAGCGTTCGGTACAAACAAATTTGCATCGAATCAATGATCGCGTTTAATCGCGTGTAAACGTTAAGGATATTCGATCGTACAGCCGACAGAAAAACAAATCAATTTCAATTAGAGGGTGACTCGAGCGTTGTATCGTGATTTCATTGGATCTCGGTGGGCCAACGTAAAAAAGCAGAGCGAGCCGGCAAGCGACACGACTAACAGCGAGGTTCTCGACGGACAAGGAGGAAGGAACCACACAAGAGCGGCTAATTGCAAGATCTATACACTGGCTCCGTTATCCGTACAACCGACCTACGTTTGTCTTCCGGCGCTGAATACCCTTACAAGCCACTCTCGGATATAGATTGTGTTAGGCATGAATTAAGCCAAATAGGCTGGACAGCTGATTGTTCTAAAGCAAAACGACCTCAACGGTAGAAATTGCTCGAGTTTATCTTCAATTGGCTGACTATTCTACGTTCTAACGAGACGCTTTAAGCTGTATTTGTTTATCCCTAAGAAGACATGTTCGGAAAAGGGATATTAGAGATCTAACACAGTCTGTATAAGCAGAGCATAGCAAAACAGTATGACGAAGCATACAAATAATAGAGTAAAAATTACCGAAGACAGGATAATTTGTAACCGCAGATATAAATTTAAAAAAATGATGTTTCGCGTCGCGACACGTTTCAACGGGTACGTTTTCCCCAGAAGGAACGTCTAAATTGGATTACAGATTTATGCGGTGGGCTCGTAAAAGTCTATCCGCTCGCCGATAACGAAAGCGGCGTGGTAACAGCCGTTGATAAACTCGTCAACTTCGGTGTCCACTGGAAGTGAAAACATCGCATTGAAATATTACCTGTCGTTTCTCGAAGACTGACTGATATTTGCATGCGTAAGTCATCGAGAAAAGATAAGACCTTTCTCGCCAATGGCGCACCCAAGTGAAATGAAACAGCAATTGCATCACACCCCCTACCACCACGAATATCTTCTTTATTAATGGCTGGCAAACATTCAAAAATCGTGTTCGTTCCATCGGGAAACCCTAATTATATTATTCCAACAACTCATCCAGGGTCTAAAAGCATCGCAACTCGTCTCTGGCATCCATTCTTGCCAATTTCACCCTAGAAATCCATTGCTCGACGGCGGTTGTCTTCGTCGAAATTGGACATCCTCAGCTTCTTGGTGGCGTCGTTACACTGAAACTTTCTGAGAACGCGAAATATCTTCCGGGGAGGCGTTATCAGATCCACGACACGAATCGTGACCCTATTTCCAGTCGGCGTTGTTCCACCTACACACGCCGCGTTCCGCATTCGTTGCACCAAGACAAATGATCCATACGCGCCGGTCATTTCGTCCGCATCCGCTCGGCAATCGCACGATCTACAAGCTGTACGGTGCAGAGTGTACAGTGGGTGGTCAGTGAATCGCTCGTTTGGCAAACTCCGGGGACAAACAACGTGAAATTCGCGCCTCCTTCCGCCCCCCGGCTTCCCCCCCCCCCATCTGCCCCCCCTCTTCGGCGCCCGTAGTCAAGATTTAACGGGTCTCTGACCACACACTTCGGTTGCGCAACACGCTGCGATCCGTCTGATAAATGATTGCCGGGGAAACTGTCGGCGTTGCACTACTTAAGGTGATTGCCGTTCCAGGTTCGCGCGAGGATGTATCTGGACCGCTGGCGAATCGATCCACTCGCCTTGTCGTCCGTATCTCGTGACTGAAAAATGTTCCGCCAACTCTTTCCCCCCCGGTCGAACGCACCGGCGAAATTTTCACTCGGATAGCTTCGCGGGAATAAGAGACTCCGTTTCGAAAGTTGCCGCTCGCGAAAGAAACCATACTTTGATAAAGTCATTTTGTTCCCCTTTCAACATGGTGCCTCGCAAGGATCGTTCGCCTCGGTTCCCAACAGTATCAAGGCACAGAGCGATGATACGGATCTGACATCCTATACTTTCGAGAAACGCAGACTCTGGAATATCCCTGTCTCTATACTGCCAATTATCGCAACGGACGGTAGGATAGGTACTGCCCTGCCTGCTAATTACAGTCGTTATTGCTACCCATTTGGGTTGACAGGAAGTTCGAGGCGCCTTGGGAACATTTCTTTACGCTGGTTCAGCCTGCCATTAGTAAATCCACTCGTTTCTAACTAGTCGAGATGAGACGTGTATATTCAACCCTCGATCCATAGGAAGACAGAAAAATAGAGAGACGCTAGAATATCACGCTGTGAATACGCATCATCGTTTACAGACACCCCTCGTGCTATTTGTAGGCCGTCCGCAGACAATGTCTGCAAGACGCGATTCATCATTGAATTAGATAGCGCGCGTCGCGAAACGTTCGTCGTCGAAGCATGTACCCGCGCGCGTCGAGATATTTAGCGTCGATCTTCCATTTTCTAATCAACGAAGTGTCTGAACAGATCGCGAAACCTTAGCCCACTTTGATCGGGTTCCCCGGTACGAATCCAGTTCTTCTTCTTTTCGCGAATGGCAGCTGCCTCCGTGACAGTTCCCGAACACCTGTCCAATCCCGGCGATCGGATCGCGGTCGTTCGAATTCGAGAATAGCAAAAATGATAGGAACGCAGACTCGAGCGATCCCCATTATGCGTAATTGGAGGGGATTAACGAGTCACGACTCCATTTATCAGGCCTCGTAATTACAAAGCATCTCGGGTTCCCTCTCGCTCCACCTCGCTCCTCGCCCTTCCGCGTTCGTCGCGTCACTTTACGCTCGCTCCACCGACTGACTGACATCCCCCAGAGGCAGTTTCGCATCTCAAATACACATTAGGCTGTAACTAAAGATAACAGGAGCCCCGTGTCGTCGAGGGGGAACCCGGTGAAATTAGATTCGAGTCCGCAGACACCGCGGACACCTCATCACCGTGTTCGATCCTGACGATGTTAATCGCGACGCCTCTGCCCGCTCCGATGGAGGAGAAGCGAGGAAACTTTGCAACCCGGTCGG